ACTCTAAACGCCGCACCTCCAGCCACAAAACCCGTGCTCTCAATGCTTCGTTTTGGCGGCACTGCTGCAGAACGACATTGCTCAGCCGCTGTTTTGCTGACTCCCTCGGCCTCACACGCCTGAAAGCAGGTACAGCCGCATTATCTCTCCAGTAAGCTTGAACTCCTGGAACCTGAAACTTACCATTCTAAAGGAACTGAAAGACGGGATAGGATACTCCGATGCAAGGTCTAGGTTAGAGCAACTCGCAGACCTGGGACCCTAAGGGCATGGAAGCATGTAGATGCTCTGTGCTTAGGGGATCTAGAATCTAGGCAGAACCATCAACCCTGAATCATGAGCGGCTAAAACCCTAAACCACATCCCGAAACGACCGCTGCATGGAGGATGTCCGAGCGACATCTGCTGAAAGTGCTCAGAGCTGCTCCGGCGGGATGCCAGTTGTCCTGCAACCTCCCTCTGAGGCGCAAGTAATTTTAGGGCTTGGGGTTTCGGGTAGGCTTTTTCCCTGTGCAGAGGATCTAGGGCTTGGCGCTGTGTGCAAGGGTTGGGAGCTTTATGCCCATCTGATTCGGGTTGCAATACCAAAAAAACGTAAATTACACCAGTGTTTTACGGCTTGCCTGAAACCCTCAATCCTGGACCTCTAAGCCCTTCGAGCATCCCGGGATTCAGGGTCTGGGCGAATGCTTTTGCCTGGAATGCTTTAGGGTTAAGGGCTGAAGGAGGGAGCTTCCGGGTGTCTAGTTTGAAAGGCAGCGGGAACAGCAAAAGCAGAACTACCTAAATCAGCAACTCTGGAAGTGATCATACATTTATCCATACACTCACGCCTAAAGCTTAAACATTTTAAACTAATCTATTCAAGTGAAGAGGCTGAAATCTCAACTCTGAAACTAGACTCCTATCAGAGGTCCAAAACACTCCACCTGTCAGGACACGCTGGCGGAGCACGCGCAGTTTCTCTGAGGAGGGAATTGTTGAGCTGATCTCTCTTTTATCTCTTTTATTTCTCTGGGCTAGGAGCATGGATGGGCTCCTGCAGTCCATGACAGACTTCGGAAGAAAAGAAACAAAGTTCATGAGCAACAAACTGTACGCAGTTTATATTAAGCTCCACATGGGCCCAGGGTCCCTATGCACCCGGACTACGGGCGGGAGGCAAATGCAGCCCGAAACCTGCCGCCACCCGCAAGACTTGCAGGGGTTTAGTGCTTGTGGTTAGACTGAGCTTTTCATGTTTGCGGCGGCATCTGGGAACTGGAAATGCTTAACGCTGATCCTGTGCATGCATCGGGCTTTAAACAAGTGCTGAAGGCGTTGCAGGTTTGGCCTTGTCACTTAATTTAAAGGTTTGGCCTTTTGTAAGAACGACTTCGTTGGGCTATCATAGAGGCATGGCTTGCAGCGTCCGCGGTGTGCTTCTGCTTGGGGTGGCGGCAAAATCATTACAGGAAGCCCGGGATTGCGTAGACGAAAGGCGCCGTCCTCGAAGTCTAAGTTCGAGCCCTAAGCTTCTTTGCCTTGGCTTTCGCATTTGGGGCGCTACACAGCTTGCAAGGCATTCTGCCCATGTACCCCGAATCTTCGAAACCCTGAACCCTAATCCCGGAAACACTCAAGCCCCGGAAGCCTAAACCCTCAGCCCGAAACCTCGAAGCCCAAACATTCGTAAAGAGCAACCTGACGGGTGTTCTTGAACTTCCGGCTCATCTTCTCAAACTCTGTTAATAGTCTAAATCTCAAACAAAACTAAATCGGTAGGCCCCACAGCGTCTACGAGTTTGCAGCATCCTGCAGATCAAGTGGGCGCAAAGCCTCTGAAACAGGTGAGCGAATGAACCCCAGGGTTCGATCGTGTCGGTGCAAGGGAGACCTGAACCCTGAAAAGTCGACTGTTTCGGGCTCCTTGTTATGATTTCCGTATACAGGCTGTTAAAAAAACCTACACATGGGTGTCCCTGAACCTAAAAACGTGCGGTGGTAATACCCCTGTATGAGGGAATACGTGCTTGTGCGCTCAGAGGCCCCTTCAAGGATTAGGAGGAACCGCCGAACGGCAACTCTTACAGGGTTCCATGCCTTGCGGTCCATGCGGGATGGAGGCTTCAGGGTTGGGTGCTGTGGTCTCAACTCCAAAGCTGCAATCCTTTCTCTGCCAGATCGGCTTCAGCGGTACATCCGAACCTTACAACCCCAAAGACCCTACAAGCGAAGCGCAACAAGTAGTTTGGAACCTTTGCCTCTGTAGCAATCTTGAAACTATCTGATTGGTCCTAAACCTTAAACCTCAACATCTTAAGCTAGCCCAAACCCGAAAGGCGGCATAACCCTCAGTCCTAAGAGCCTAGCCCACACTCCGCGTCGAGGCGGTGTTGGGACAAGCTTGCGGGGGCTCAGGGAGCAAGGAGCTTCCGGTGCTGGCGGTTAAGGGCTAAGGGCGATTCTCCGACAACCCTGGGGTTCAATTCGCAGGATGGTTGAACAAGCGCGTGCCCGCATCTGGCGGTTGTTCAAAAGTAGGCTTCCTCGGGGAAGTCTGTACGGTCCATGTCAAGCTGAGGCTTCGGGCTTAGGGCGTTTGGATGCTGCTGGGACTTTGAGCTTGCCCTAGAGGTTCCAAAGGGCCCAACAGATAGATACATGGACTACATGGATTTAGGATAATAGAAATGTAGCTAAGTATATGAAAGCGTCGCTTTCATGTGGGACTTAACTCCGGGAAGCCTGGTTGAGAACAACCCCCCATCTGATGCCAAAGTGATCTCCCGCCCCAGCACTCCGTCGAACTGCTTCCGAAGGTTTTCCAAATCGATGCCAGAGGGCTTAGTTCAGATGACATGTCCAAAAATGGTTTGCCATAGAGGTGTTTTTCGCGCTGTGAAATTTCAAGCAAATCATTCGTATTGCCGTCATCACTATTTCGAGGGCTTCAGGAATTGCAGTCAACCCTACGACCTACGACCACCACGAAGGGGCCTCGGCAGCCGCCAACCTTTGAATGCCTTAGAAAAGAAGCCTGGACCTGAAAGCTAAACCGTCGTCGGGGCAACGCACAGGGGTCAGCAAAAAGTGTTCAGTCATATTGAAGTTTACGTCTATATGGACCATGACCATGATGGGATAGTCTGGCTAATCGCGCAGGCCTCTGTAGTATCTCAAGTTTACATCCGGAGCGTGACTTTTCGACCCCAAACCGGGGCGGCGTGGCGGAACGTCGCAGGGCTGCAAAAGCCCCAAAGTGCAATCGAAGTCACTGTTCTGACCCTGATGCAAGGACGCGCGAAGCTGTGGAAGATCCTTGCTGGTTCGACTATCTCTGGCCACCCAAATTGCAACTTAGGGCTTGGGGAGCTGAGTTTGAGGTTACTGCAAAGTTCGGGCCACCTTTGGGCGGGGTCGAAGGTTTGCGCTTCAAAAGTTGGGACACCAGCAAGGACTCTCACAACAAAAAGTTTGTAAATGCTTTCCAGCCGCAGGTAGTGGGTAACCGGGCAACCCACCAGACTCAGAAAAAAAACCATATGCAGTCAATCCCAGCACCCCTTGGCCCACGCCCCAGACTCTGCCACTCCCGACTTCGACGAGGTGAAAAGCCTCGTCCCATAGTTTAGGATTTAGTGTATTTTGGGTGGTGAAAGGTGGAATAGACCTTATGGGATCTGGACACCGAGGCTGAGTCTTTAAGGACTACTTGGCACTCTGTACATAGATACATGGGCTACAGCGAGCCTACGCAGTACTAGTGGCTTGTCAGTTAAGCCCGAATAGAACAATGCAACTGGCAACGACCAACAGAAACCCTGAATGTGAAACCTACGTCTTGCATGGCAGGCCCTGATGTCTGCGCATCCCTTTTGCCTAAACTCCCACCTCTCAACCCTTGACCAGCACGTAGCAAAATTATTGCAGAGCCCTGCCAGAACTCTGGCAAAATAAACTCTAAAGTTAACCACCCACACCACCGCAGCGGTCGTATATCACTGGCGCTGTCAAGCATGCCGTGTAGCATTTTGTCGGCCACTTCGCTCGGAGGTGCATTGTGAAACGTCAGAAACATCGCGCCTGACCTCGGGGCGCATAGCGATTTTGGTTGGGGGGCTTTAGGCGTTGAGTTTATCTGGGATTTTTAGGGTTCAGCTGCTGCAGGTTGCATGGTTTTCGGGTTGCAGAGTTTGGGTGTTGTGGGTTCGACCTAGGAATCCTGCCTTACGGCTCGGATGCCCCAGACCACATGATGTCACACCTTGGCCCTAGATCTTCTAAACTGAAAGCATAAGCCCCGAATGGAGGCTGCACATGTCAGGACTTTTTTCCCTTCGTAAGAGCCCAGGCTCTTTACAACGTATTACCTACCGTGGCACACGCAATTCCCAGGTGGAGACTGTGAATCCCAAACGGACAAGCCAAAATAACCTCAACCTAATCGATAAGCCGACATTCCCTGAATACCTCAAATCCAGTCCCAAAACCTCTATGTCCCAAACTGAGAGCTCTGCTGTTGCGCAATGGCCGGCATTTGCGGTGCTGACTGTGTAGCACCTGAAACCTCAGAAGTGTCTCATCTTGTTTTGTACGATGATGGATTCAGCCTGATGCCATGCCGCGACAAAGCCCAGAGTCTTGACTGTGAGCTTGCAGCATGAGCCTGATTCGGTGAAGGGTGCAGGCCTGCTCTCGAGAACAAACCAAGACATCCACAAGTTGAACCCTGAAGCCAAGAAGAGCCTGGAACAGCAAGCTCTCAACACCTTACACTTGCGCAGACCTATGAATCCTTTCCAGGCTTAAGGTGCATGAGAGAAGGGAGAATGGTCGGAGCGATGCGAAGAAGGCCCTTTGAGAAGCTACATGCAGCACTCAGTCAGTAGAGTACTGGGATATTTGCCACACGGTTTAGGACTTTGAGGCTTTGCGAAGTCTACGTTACAACCCAGGTCGCACTTACATTCAAGCAGAACCTCCTGTACTGTACCGCAGGCATGCGCGGCGCTTTTGCCTCAGCGACGCCTCAGTCGCAAGCTGCCAACAAGGCGATTGTTGTACTCCCAGCCGAAACCACTGGTGCTTATGGTGCTGGACACCGCCCCGAAACGCTCCGAGCCGGTCGCCACCGCGAACACCACCACGCCCTGTCTCAGCAAGGCCCTGCCGCTAATGATCCGACTTCCGCGGAAATCGTCGACAACTGCCTTCGCCTGCCAGAGAAGCGACGATGCATCTGCGTTGGGTTCTGGTGCCTCAATCTCCGTATTGAGAACAATTGTCTTTGCAAAGCTGTCCAACGGCTCAGTACTGAGACCTTGCTGCGCAACAGCCATGAGGATCTGTGCAACGGTTGCTTCAGTGATGTTAGCAACAACGACATCCCGCCAATTACTGGTTTTACTCTTAGATTCAGCAGTTCCAGCAGCTGCCAGAAGCTTGGAGAGCTCAAGGCGGGCGACTTGAAGTGTTGCGCTGTTGAAGCCTGCTGCATTCTCCACGGCATAAACCAGCCGACCAGGAATGTTCTCAAACTCTGCCCTCCATGCTGTCGGAATATTGATGCTGAAATCGCCCGTGGGACCTTCCATGCGGATGAAGTCCGGAAACTTGATCTGAGACTGCATGACCCGTGGTGGTCCGGGAACCGTGTTGGAACCCGCCACAGCTGCAGCGTCAGCCCTAGATGACTGGGGAAGGAACGCAGAGGCCAGTAGCAGTCGACGTGTCAAACCTGACTTCTCCAAGGTCCAGACAGATTAGACCTAAAGAGTGCACCCTAGCTGCCAAATCTAAACCCTAAACCTAGAGCTCGAAAGTTTGTGCTTTAAATACCCTTCAATAACAAGCCTGAACTTCAACCCGAGACAAGCTGAAGCTGAAAGTAAGATGGAAAGTTGAAGCTAGGGCTTAGAGTCCGAGGTGAACCTCTAAAGGGCGACCTTCTGAGTTGCAGTCCCGAGAAACCCAGCCATGCCCAACTCGGTCCCAGAATCGCGAAAAGCAGGAGCAGCAGGGCAAACAAGCTTCGAATACGGCGGCCCCTCGGCATCAGAGCCATTCTCTTCGAAACAGCGTCAGTCGGGCCTGCGAGGCCTAGACCCTCAACCCCAAGCCCCTATATACCCTGAAAGCCCCGGCAGACACAAGCAGCTACCTGCTTCACCGTAATCCTACTGCAGCCCTAAGCCTGCAAACAACAAGACCCACACAGTACCTGGACCTTTTGTGTAATCTCCCACCGAAAGCCGGCAGCGACCACGCTTTAGATCGTATGTGCTGTGGGTTTAGGACCTGGGACTTAGCGATAAGGCTTCAGAGTTTAGTGTATGGGGTCTCGCGGCTTCAACCCTAAACTGACCAAGACCGGGGACGATGCACTCTCGGCCAGACCCGTGGGATGGGTTGCTCTCTGCTTTGAACGGGACGCTTTATGGCTTAGGGCCTCTATCTAAATAACACATCTATGTGTATATATATATATATATATATGTGTGTGTGAATAGTATGTGCGAAAGGCTTTGGGGTTCAGGATTTCGTGGGTTTAGGAGATGAGGCTTCAGGCCTGCAGAGCTTAGCAGTCGAGACTCGAGATTTTAGGTCTCGGCTGATGGCCAGTGTTTCGAGATTCTTGGAGATTTGCTCTTGACAGGATTCGGGTTGAGACACTGACTTCAGTACGCTGGCCGCGGGTAAACACATACATAGGAAACCGTGCTTTGGAACCGTCGACGAACTTGGAAGAAGCTCTCTAGTCACTGTGGCTGCAAAACTCTAGACCCTAATTCCTGAACTCTTAAGCGTGAGGCTTCGAAAAGCGCAAGGCTTGCAGGCAGTTAGAAACGGCAGCGAGGGCGAAAATCTGTCGACTCACAGGGTGCTCCACTCCAACTACCGCTTTTCTGGCTTAGGGTTCGTGCTCCAGCATTATGGAAGGGAGGTTTCGTGAACCTTGCTCAGCCAACAAGGGTGTGTTCGGGCTTCGAGGCTATTTCGGGTGAACAGCTACGATATAGGGCTCTGAATATGTACTGAGCAATGATATCCAGATGCAGCCTCTATACTTACAGTATGACTCTACATTTGAGACACGGTTTGAAGGTTTCCCTCAACCTTGCCTAGTAGCCTAAGGGACCTGCCCACAGGATCAGCGGTGGGTAACAGTATATGGTGTCGGGTAGGGGCTTAGCAACAGAAATCGGGTTTAGCGGGGATTATACCAGGACTGCTTCACACTCTTTTGCTCAGCCCGTGAAGCTTCTTCTTGCAGGCACTGGGGTTTGGGGCTAAGCCTCAGAAAGCAAATCGCACGACCTGGTCAGAAAGTGCAAGGGGTAACTCGCCAAGACGATCCTTTCTGGGAGACCCATAAACCTCGAAGACAGCGTACAGCCTCAAACCTCAAGGCAGCGCTACCAACCCATTCGCATAGCTGTTGAGGCCCTTTCACTCTCAGCTACATGAACTCGCGAAACCTCTTCGAGAAACTGTGCAATCATCGCATACGAATGTACTAGAGAACGCCGAAGAAGCCCCTGATCCAGCCACTCAAGTTCAACACATTCACGAGGACCGGACAGGCAATGCGGCGATGGAGCCTGCACAGCTCAACTTAGCAACCTCGGCGGATCGATTGTTTCGGTAGCTTCTCTGTTTCAGAAGGCGCTGTGGGACTTCATATCGGAACGCGATGTTGTAGGGTTGAGCCAGGTTTCGCAGAATTCCATAAGGTCCTTGCAGGAGTTTTGCAGCATCCTCTTGTTCTAAACCCTGAACCCTAAACCTTGCGGCCCCGCCCTGCCAGTGCACTCTAAACCCAATGCCCCAAACCCGCCGCTCCCCCATACCCACCTCAGGTCATGTGAGGCCGTTTTGGAGGCGGTGTTGATGTTACTGTCGATGCTGAAGGTTGTAAGGATTATTGCTGCTGCGATGCGCACTTCTGAAAACCAAAAAGGGGAGGCCATGTCGGCCAGAATCTTGAATAACTAGAGGCAGGAAAAACTCAAGAAAAGAAGCTCATCACCTGAACTGTCCGCACCGACTCTGAACCACCCTGAACATCTAGTAGCGAAGACTAGCTCCCAAATCGTCAGATTTAACCAGCAATCCCGAAGCACGGACTCAACCTCGTAATTGTCCCTGCAATCCATAATCCTGCCCCTAGGCCGCATGACACTCTTCATGTTCCTGTAACAGAAACCCGAGTGGACCAAAAACAATACAGCTCCACGCAGAAACAGTGCTGCAAGTCCACTCGCTAAGGCATTGGCTCCGGCAGAACTCCGGCGGGCAGCAGCTGCGAGTGAAATTGGAGTGGCCCCCCAGCAGTAGCTGAAACAATTCCAACTCCCAAATCTGACCTTGCATAATTCTACTCCGCGCTGTACGGTCTCATATCTAGGCTAGACTATACCAGAGGGGTATCTTACGTATATTATATTTCTTCAGCTGGCTTCTACATTGAGCTGATTCGCTCCAAACTCATAGCATGCCTTGCAACTGGCACCCCGAATCAATCCTTAAGCCATGGTTGAGTTGAGGCTTTGACGTACTCGGTTCCCACACGGACGTAGAATCTGAATCTAGGGTTTGGAATTTTCGCACCTTCAAGCGGCCTTCACCTAACCCGGTCCAGCCGTCGGCCCCTAAAAAGAGGGCTCACGACTGCTGGGGGACGATCCTCCTCTAGCCTCGCGTCAGCGGCGCCCTCAATTGAAAGACTGGTTGAAGCGAGCCTGGGCATTGGTTAGCGTCTTGAGGGTCTTGAGTTCGGGGTGTTAGGGTTGAAGGGTTTACGACTTGTTTGAGTCCGAGCTCGGTGCTCCCTTCTGCTTGTCAGTTTAGGGTTTAGGGTGTGGGTGCATACTGTCATCGCTTCGGCGGTCTTAACATCTCAAAACGATTGAATGGTGTCGGCTGATGCAGGGGCTCTGGCGTTGACAGGCTAAGGTGGTGAAGGTCTGCAGGGTACTTAGGTAGAGCACTTTCCAGGGTGTGTTATGCATTGTAGGGCCAGTGTAGCGATGAAGACCATAATTCAAATTCTTTTGCTGCAACAAGGACCCGTGAAAGGAACCCCAACTGAGAGCAACCCTCATGTGGGCTTAAGGGTTTTGTGGGGTCTTGCAGTCTTACACGTCTCTTCAGCATGTTCACGCGGCTGGGCCTGTGGCTTTACGAATGGTCCGAAAGCCGAACCCCTAAAAACCTGCAACCTGGCGAGCCAGAAGGGGCCATTTGCCTCGAGGTTGTGGCATTCCGGGGCTTAGGGGTTGACGTTCTATTAGTTGGGCCGTTCGGCACTTTGGGCTGAGGTTCAGGCATTTTGGACTCAGGGCTTCGACGTGTGTGCTTGTTGGGCGTTTGGCGCAGAGCTTCGGGGTTTATGCTTTGCGTCCTCCAATGTCAACAGGGTAAAAACAAGAAGCGGCAATGCCGGTCTAGGGTTCAAACCCTAAACTTAGGCCCTGAGACAAAAAAACCCAAATGGCTAAGCTGAACACTAAGCCCCCATATCAGTGCCAAAGGACTCGTTCACGACTTCCGGAAGTGAGCTTTGGCTAAACCCCAAGCTCAAAATCTACATCCCACCACGATTAAATCCCAAAGAACCCATCAAAAAAGCATGTCCAAAACCTGCCGGATCCAAAAGCATGTCCAAAACCCGCCGGATCCTAAAGCCGAAGCACTATGCTCAGAATAGGACGCGGCAATGCAAGCGGGTTGAATAAGAAACCTTCAGAGGTACTATCATTCGGAAGAACCCCTGCCCGCGCCTGTGCAAGTTGCAACAGCTGCTGACGAAAAGCAGCGTGCCGAACAAGGGCCTGCGGCGAGAAGGACTGTAATTGAGGGTAGGGTGTCATAGAAAACGGCTGTTGGATTATGGACCGGACGCATCCCATACAAAGCCATACACATACGTGGTACCAGTTTCCAGGAACGGCAACAAGAATCCATCGTAGTCGTAATAGACTTTCAGGTCCATGGAGGCAAACGAGGCATATTCTACAGAACATTTCGCAAATACTTTACTAACTTTATTGAAGCGGTATCCGATGCCCCAGTACCCCAACAGTTGAAGCTAGAAAACTGCACTGGCGAGCCTGACGGCCGCCACAGAAGCCTTAAAACTTAAGGGCTCAGGGTTTTGGACACAGACTCTCGGGCTAGACGCCCCAAGCCCAAGCCCTTTCAACCCTAACCCTAAACCGCAAACCCTAAACCCCAACTCCTAAACCTCAAAACCCTTCAATCGCTGTCCTCGGCGTTGATCTGGTCGTTGATCTGACTGCACTGCATTGCCAAGGCCTGGGTCGAGGAAGGCGTAGCGCGGGGTTTAGGGCTTCTAAGCGGGAACAGACTTTGGGGAGTTTTGGGGCATCGAACAACAAGGATATAGGGCTTCGAATTTTGGGGTGTAGGTTTGAAGGTTTAGTTTCGGGTTTGAAACAGGGGGTTACGGTTGAAAGAGTTTAGGGCTAGGGCATCGAACAACAAGGATAACAAAAACAATAAGAATTTCGTCACAACAAAAAGCAATCATGATATGTACCTGAATTGGAGTCAATGACAAAGACGTCATGGCATGCTTCACTTTAGGCAGCGTACTTGTCATAATCATTACGGGACAACAGAATAGTAAAGGGTGTAAGTTTCTGGGCGCTTCGGCTCTTCAAATTTCTTACAAGGGTTAAGAGCTCCAAGGCACGCAAGCAGCTGTGGACATGGATCCAAATACACCCGCGACAAAGACCACGAAGCGGAGACCTCGAACCATGAACCCTAAACCCATGAATCCCTGCACCCGAAACCCCTCAACCCTGAAAACAGCAGTTTCCCATGAGGCTTGACATGGAGGACTCATGCATTCCTTGGCTGCTTCCCTCAACCCCAAACGCACCTGAATGAATATTCATTCGGACTCCCAAATCCCAAACCGATTGACCATTAACATACCCTCAATCTTAAACCGAATAACCCTCGCCCGCAGCCCGGCTCAGGGTTGACACCGAGGGATCGCACTATCACTATCACTAATACCAATAGTATCACGAT